TCACCGCATTTTGGATCATATAAACCTTCTTGAAGATATTGTAATCTTAATGTAAACTTAGGTCCCAATTCTCTAAGTGATGGTTTATTTTTCAAAAACTTATATCTGTGATGTCGGAAAAATATGTAATCTCTCTGATTATGCATTGTTACAACATGTCTGCCTTTAAATTCTGCTTCTTGATGGAACACGGCACCTAACATACGCGCTATAGTTTTACCTAATCCTGTTGTAAAATTTGTAGTGATTACTTCTGGCCTATGATTAGTAAATTCTTTGCGTTGCCTTTTGTTAGGAAATATAACATTACTTAAACGGAAATATGCTGTTGGTCCATCAGGTAAGTGTACAAGAATTAAACCATTAGGTTCATTGCGGTCTTCATTTATTATTATCAAATCTGTATATCCTTTATTGATAGCAGCTTGAATTGTTTCTTTTACAGAAGCGTCACGACGAAAAATTCTAACAGAGTTAGGTATTATTTCAGTTAAAATTTTACCAAATTCTCTAACTTTTCTAAGAGGCTTTTCCTTATATGTAATCAACACTTTAGGTTTATAAAGGTTTGAATAATAATCAGCAAACTCATCGTGTTCAAACTCAGCAGCTAGATCTTGTGTTTTTTGATCATAATTTTCATCATCAGAGTGGAATACTGTTGAATCTGGTTCCCTGGTGTTTTCAATTGTTCGAGGCACTTGTTTCGGATCACCACTAGCCTTTCTAAGTTTTCTTTCTCTTTTCTGAATTTTTTTTTTATTTTTCAAGTCTTTTAACTTTTCTTGTCTTAGTAATCCTCTAGGTTTCTTTCGAGCTAATTTTGGTAACTCTGGTCCTGCTTGGCTTTCCTAAAAACATAAATATATAAATTTATATTAATTATTTAGAATAGCCTATCAATGATGTATATTATGTTAAAACTAAGGTACGGATGTTGTTGCTTTTGCAACTTTTTTCTACTTTTTCAATTAATTGTTAAGTAAGTTTAAAATGCATGTTATGTGAGTACGAACTAACAAACTAAAATTTTTAAATTTTAAGTGCAATTTTTGTATTTTTATTGAATTTACTCATTTCTAAAATAATTTTAATAATTTTTTTTTAAGTTTTTCATATAATTTCACTTTTTTTATACTTTTTAAACGGTTTTATAAATATTGTTAGAATGTTTATCTGAAGATTTAGTGGTAAGCGATTTGATTTAGTTTATTTTAAGTATGTTCCCCTAATATTAATCGACATAGAACAAAGTTTTTCAAGGTATAACAATTCACAGGTTCCGAACCGAAGGACATTGGATTTTGAAAATTTAAAAAAATTACATACAGTTCAATTTTTGATATAGGTATTTTAGTGCAATACTGCAATCAATTTTACTAGTTTTTTAGTATTAAAACATCCATGCCTTAGTTATAACTTAAAGCTAAAGCGCAGATTTTCATGTAATAAAAAAGTTAAAATTTGTATTAAAAACATGAATTATTAAAAAAAAATTGTCTTTTAGATTAATTTGAGTTTAATTTATTCATCTTCATTGTTATTTTTTTGTAAGTAATTAGACACAAAATGCATTTGGAGATTTTTTAATTTAAATATTATATAGTGTGGTCAGGAGTCAAAATTTATATGTAGTATGTGCAATGTTGACCAAGGATAATGGGGCATTTTCATAATATTTGATATATTAGATGGTGTAAATTTAATACATATTCATTTTTATTTAAAAGAAAATATCTTCTAATAGTTTTTATATTTTGTAAATTAACATTTTTAGTAAATACCTACATAATTAAATTAATTTTTTATTATTATCCTGAATTCTTTTTAAACTTTATTTATTTGCTGCATATTCTACTATTGCAAGGCTTTCAATTATTGTTAGATTTTATGTTTCTATGACTTAACCAAAAAACAAAAATTAGCAGAAATATATGCTAATCTACATAGTTAAAATGTTATGCAAAGAATGATTAAATGAAGACTGTAAATAATATTAGGGCATAAATCAACAATAAAAAAATTTAGACAATATTGTTGAAATTATAGATGTATGTGAGAATCAAGTGATATGCATGAACGACACTCATATACTTGAACTAGAAATACCTTAAAAAGATATTTCTGTTAAACATAAAAGAATTGGAAAAAATAATCAATATTTTATGTATTAAAGTCAATTTCCAAGCTCTAGCTGTAACAATTAAGAAACAAACATTATTAATAATTAATAAATTATTAATATGTGAATAGAAATTGATTTAGGGTATAAAAACAAAACCATTAATAATTTAAGCTATAAACAAATTGTATTGGCAGGGTATGTATTACAAAAAAGCAGTCATGTATTGGTAAATACTAGATTGATAGTATATTTTATTTTGAATTACATTTTACAATTGAGATATTTTTAAGCTCTTAATATTATATTAACATAATAAGATCTTTATTTTAACTATTAGATAACGCCTATTTAACATGTTGTTAGTTATTACTTATTAGTTAACACTGTTAGTAATAAATAATTAAACAAAAAATATTACTCACAGTAACTTCATTTTCTGTATCTATATCTTTAAAATCCATTTTTGACGAATGAAGTGATTATTCATACATTCAACACAATCCACGAACAATTCAATTAAACACTATTCAGGACAATAAAATTGACACTATTGACAGTATAACTAATAAATGCTTACAAATTTTTTTAGTATGTCTGAACTGAATGAATGCACACGTGACATGCCGACATCCATATTTCAAGTCCTTATCATTGTTGTTTTCTAATTTTTTCATAGATAACAAGATTTAAAATTATCTTAAAACGTAATAGTTGATAAAGAAATGGCTCGACCAATTGTCCAGTGTAGCCAGAATGTGCATGAAGTTAGGTTAACAATTCATCATAGCCATTGGTAAGGAATTCCTTTACTAGACCATAGCATATTTGTACGATAAGTTGCCTATAGTATGTTCTCAATAAAAATAAAACCCAATCTTGGAAGATACCTTGATAAAATTATTCAATTATTATTTACTTACTAGAATCTAGACATTATATGATTTATAAAATTTCAAAGTATGATTATGTCATTAGTTATTACTATTATTTTTTTTTCATCAAAATTACTTATTAACCTTTTTATTTTTTTATCTGTGTCTTCAAATTTTTTCAACTTTCTCGGAGAACTATTAACTAACACAAGATTTTCATAATACGTGTCACGTCCACTTCAAAATTTTTTAAGATTCGCAATGAAGGTATATAACGTTGAATGATTTCAGATGACCACAAGAAACTGATGTTGAATGGAGATTAGGTTGTAATTGATTAATCATATTGAATGATTTTACATGGGTTTGTTCCTTTCTGTTAGGTAACAATTCATAAACTGCAGGACGCACTCCCTCTAAAAATTCAGCTAAAATAACATAAATTTGGCAATATAGAGTGGGTGCTACTTTGATACCAAGTTGTCGATCAAACATTAATATTTTTATTTATTTCATTGCTGGGCCCACTATCAGTTAATAAAAAATTTTCGTTTACTTCAATCGATAGTGAATAATTTTGATACTCATCGAGTATTTGTAAAGATGATAAATCGGATGGATCACATGGAACTGTTTCAAGTGTTTATTTTTAAATTTAAACCGAAATTATAAAGATGTAAGAAAAAAATTCATAACAATCTTTATTGAGCCACTATAGTGAGTACGCGTATACCACTAACTTCATTAATTTCAGACACCCTGAATTATCTTTAGTTTCAATAGTAATTATTAAAATATTTGATAACTCAGAATACGTAAGGACGAAATGGTATTATCAGGGATGGGTAGTACATTCGATATATTTATATCATCTATGGCGGCTGTATCTTTTGATATTTAATAATTGTATCTTTTATTATATAAGTACTTGGGACGTATCTATTTATTAAATTACTACAAAGAGATTTTTTTTTCATTTTTCCAGAATTTTTGTATAACTTTTTATGTATAGGTATGTATATCATGTATCATGTACTTATATATTAAATAGTATATTGATGTACTTTATAATTTTATGTTATATAACTGTATTAGCCGATGTTGCCGGGTAAAAATCAATCAATCTTTCTAATTTCTATCGTTTTCCATTTTGCTTCAGTTGCAATGTATAATTCAAACACAATTTCAATAATAAATTTAATGGTTTTCTACGTTTTAACTATGCACATAATTTTAAATTAAGCACAAAAAAAGTTGAGATATATTTAACATATTTAACGAACACTTAAAATCCGTCGTAAATTCATTGTCATTAAGATTGATATTCTTCTATAAGTGTTAACATTGAAAATATGTTTAGAATGAAGAAACAAATCATAAAAATAATCATTGTAATTGTGTTTTAAATATTTGATTTCAAGATTTGTTTAAAAAAAAAAAGTATTTGTAAACAGTTGTAAATGACGTATACTATATCTTTACTAATTATTATAGTAATATAATTTGTAACCAATGACAGCCATTTTAATAAACCAAAAAAAATATTTTATTCTTGTGGGCCAAAGTAAAATTTATTTAATATCTATCTTATAGCAACCTTTAGACGTTGAGAAAATAAGTTATTAACACCTTTCAAGTCATAAGAAATCTATTGTGTGTAATTTTTATTAACAATGGTCCTGTAATTTTTGAGTTCATAGACAATAAACAAAGACCCATTTATTTTTATATACATATTACGTAGATACATAGATAATAACTATATAAATTATTTATTAATTGGCTATATTATTTTAAACAGTAAATAAACAAGCTTATATTTTAAATAACTCAAACAATTTTAATTCAATTCCTAGGTAACGGTCCATAACAAACAGTATAGCTTGACAATAGTCTATTAGAGAAGTCATTTTTAAAAAACGGTCCGCTGAAATCTAATTTTTTAAAAGCCTACATATTTAAATATTTTTCAATACTCTTCGTAATATTATATATTATATAAGATGGCAAAGAAAGTAGGAGATTCAGCCGAACTCAATTACGACATGAACTACAATTTGTTTTTGTTGAAGACTTCTATGCAGAACTTGAAAACAGCACAGGGTAATTATAATATATATAGAAGTACCTTATACTATACATATAAATAATATCAGATAGGACATTTATTATATTTTACCACCTAACACAAATACATTCTACCTCCACCCCCATTTTCTTTCAGTTGTATACATTAATTATTTTTTTGTGATCACTGATCAGTATTCACAACCTCATTACGTTAAAACATATATATATATATATAGGTACATAACTATACAATATACACCGTTTTTCAATGCCGCTACTTATTTTGCATACTATATATTTACCGACCTTTTATGATAATGGTATTCGCGTCACAGATAAACATAATGTAAACCGTTGGGTGCATAAACTGTTGGCAAGCAATAAGACGGTTGCTGAAATGAAGCTCCGAAATGATTTCATGTTTCATCTGGTGACGGCCGTCCAGGAGGGTGAGCTTCGCCCACCGTTCAACCAATATCCACCGTCGTTACCTCTCAACAATCTAACATATCTACTAACGGGAAATGCACCCAGTTCTGGCGGTAAAGACGGGAAAAAAGGCGCTGGCGCTTGGGAGTGTGACCTATCCAGTGAAGACACGGAAAAGCCCATGTTGTACAGACAATCACCAGACGGCGGAGCGTTTTTGGCCGCACAACCTGTACCAAAGTGTGGAGCGTTTTGCTACTTGGCCGTGGTCAGTAAACCACCAGCGAAGGACGACAAGCCTAAGTTGTAAATGTAGTATGTGGGCTATACCATACCTACCATGTGTGATGCATAAAAATTTAAAATTTTATACCTAAAATAAATATAATTTGTTAAAACATTTGTTTCAGTATTTTTTTAATTGTATATAATATTTTATTATGGGTACTTATTTTTAGGCTAGCCTTTATATACTATATCCAAAGTGAAGTATAAAGTGTTTTAGTGCTGGTTTAATAAAAATAATACCGGGGTAAAATAATTTTTGCAATAATATTTTACCGACGCTCGCGTAGACTTGTCTATCATTAGAATCTAATGAAGTAATTTTAAGGAACTCCGGTAACCAGGTAACCAATCTAAATATACCAAAACGTAAATTAGTAATTTAAGATAATGCATGTATATTATGGTAATTGCGAGCATATTATAGTGCTAAAATATTTATGGTGACAAAGTAATTATTAATAAGTCAATGTTAAGATCAATTTGGTTATATGGATCTCAAATTTTGGGGCTGTATTAAATGTCTATATAATTCCGCTCCTTATATTTCGAATCATATCCTTCACAAAGACTTGAAAAACATTGAACCAGTTGAAAATTTAATTAAAACTCACTATAAAAAGTTTTACCCTAAATTATTTCACCATCAAATCCTTTAGTAAACCAGCATACAGCCTTAATTCCCAACAACCGTCCTCGCCGTCTTAAAATATGTTAATATCATGATCTTTTATTTTGAAACATTATGTTCGTCTTCTAGCTGAATCTTGTCAAAAAGATCCTACACTGGATAGCTTTCTTCCTCACTGTTTCCAGGTCTATATATCATTATTTTGTTAACCCATTTGTTAATTGTAATTTTTCTTTAGTGTAAAGACAACAGATTGTCAATTTTTTACAAAGAGAGAAATTTTGTTAGTTATTAAATTTCCAAACTTTGTGACCGAGCAAAAATCTTAACAATATATATATATATATTTTTAATTATTAAGTTAAAATGTTTATAAATAGTTAAACGTATTTGAGAATATTTAGAAAATCATATTGTGTGTAGGAAATTATTAAACAAACATTTATTGGGAATTTCAAGTATCTGCGATAATTTGTTTTTGAATTAAAACAAAATATCAATATTTAATTTAGAAGTAAAAGTTATTTTACGGGTGAATATCCAATTTCAAACTTTATACACTCATAAAAATGTATTTGACATTATGACTCTCCGATAAACTTTTTTTTATTTTCGGTAGAAAAACTTGTGAAGAATCTTGTATTACATTTTCAAATATGAAATATAAAAAAACAATTTTTAATATTGTTGGCTATTATATTGATTATATTTTACTATTTTAGTGCTAAAATAATAATAAAATAAAAAAATTAATGTTCTACTGCGGAAACGGAAATATATAATTTTGTAATTAACCTGACTGCAGTATTATATTTTTACGTAACAATATGTAGATTATTTTAACATTTTATTTGTGGATGCACTGCAAATATGGCGCCAGCGGGAAAACTAGGAGAACTCACACTCAGACGGGGTATAGAGGGCTGGAAAAATCGATTTCCTTGTTACCAGCTGATATGGATGATAATTAGAAAGAAAAATAGTGATGTATAAATATTTAATATTCATTGCAAATTTCGGTCCGTTATTTAGTGTTCTAATATGTTATTTTTAATTAATTTGTCGTCCAGTTATTGTCGATCGTACAACAAGGTAAGTACTAATACCGAAATTACAATATAAGCCTCAATTTATTTCATATATGTGTTGCAATAGAGTATAGTATTTAATTTATGTTCTTATATTATTATTGTTATATAATATTCAATATTTAAAGTTAGCAAGACAATAATAATTGTAAACACTTAAACAGCTATTCATACCTTCAATTAACTATTTTACATTAATTATTATAAACTATCACTTGCATTAATAGGTATAATAGCCATACATTGTACAATGTATATAGGTACCTAATTTTAATATTATGTAGTACGCTGGTATATTATTACCAAAATAATATTATATAATGTTCTCATTTCTTTATAGTATTGTAAAATTATTGAAGTTGACTTATTATATATTTATATAGTACCTATACATACCAGTGGGAGCAGTGAGGGATGAGAGGTGTATGGGACTGAAGCCCTCCAAAAAATATTTTTTACACTAGTTTATGTATTATTAAAGTATTTTATTATTTTGTTACAAATAAGTTATAATTAAAAAAAAATGACAATTAAAAATTATTGATAAAGCTTGTGTCTAAAAAAAAGTAGGACAATTTGTAAGCTCCCTCGAAAATAAAAATCCTTAGTGTACGCCTATCATATCCGCAAACTGTATTATAAATGGGTGGGCTGCAATTTTGTTTTAATTAAATACATAATCTATGGAGGCTATAGTATAGCCGGGCTATATCCCTTACACCACTTTTATTTAAATTATCTAAAAAACAAACAAACATATTTTATCCGTGTAATTTATTAAAGGATTAATATAAATAAAATAGTTTTATGCCGGGTTACAAGAAAAATTGATTAATTTAATGGTTAAATAAAATTTAAAAGACCAATCATTAAATCACGGGCCACTAAATTATATTAAAGGAACCATTAATTTATTTTGGAATATTTATTCATTAAATTTTTATACTTTATGGTGATTGTTCATGCACCCTGCCATAAATCATATGAGCTGTTAAAGGGTCTGTAATTATAAAAACACATAACATTATTGTTAATATAAAATATACCTCATCATTGCAATTATTATATTCTTTGAATTTCAGTGATAATTTATAATTAAAAAAAAAAAAAAAAAAAAAACAATGTTGTAAAACAGGTATACATATTTTATAAGAACATACTCTTTATACAAATATAGTTAGTAATAATTAAGACCACGTATTTAATGCGTTAAACACCTTAAATTTTTAAAAAATATATTAAATACCTTTTAAATGTATTAGAATCTCAAAAATTCACTATAAAATGCATTTTAAGTATAAATTAAAAACCATGAATATAAAAATATAAAAATCTATAAAGTACAAAATATTTTATATACAAAACGAAAAGTTTTTATAAATGTCTAACTACAAAATAGTTTGCAATTTTTTGTGATTTTGACAAATATTAAAACTTTAATTTCAAATAGTTCAAATACATTTAAAAAAAAATTGAGCCTATATATTTTTATAACTTTTATATAGATATAAGAAAAACTTATGTGACTTGGCGTATTTATAGGGGGAAAAAAAGGGCGCCAAAATCGTAAATACACCTCTATATATTGTATTACATTTTTAAGAATTATGGCTCAATGAATAATTTTTCATTAACATTTATAGAAAAAATATTAAAAAATTTAAGAAAATTTCTTATACCTATTAATAGCTCAAAAATAAATGAAATATTTTGAAAATTTTATCACGAATAGAAAATATTAGTAAATTTGGTTAAAGTTTTAAATATTTGCGGTTATTTAATTTTAAATTGTACAAAAAAATAAATTCAATTTAATTAAATATTTTTCTTATTTTTTTTTTTCGATTTCCAAAATATCAACTAGATGCAATTTGTTACTAGAAACCACACACATTATTATAAATTGAAGCATTTTTACAGTTCTAAAATATGATGCCAGACAGAAAAAAAACACATATGTAAAATTAATACATTATCATAGTTCCAGTCAAAATCAAAAATAATTCATAAAATACGAGCAAACAATTTTGATTTGAGGAAAATATTGAAAATATCAAATAAGTACCCAATTAAAAATAAAAAATAATCTACTTAATCAAATAAATCAAAAATTCTAAAAATTTTCAATATTGAATAAATATAAGCGTTGTGTTAATGTTTAACATTAACACAAAGTTTAAAATAATAAGTTTTTCTATAAATTTATAGTCTTAGTAATAATAATGTATTTTTTCAAAATACATTTTTTTGGGAAGATTTAGAAAGCCTCAAGTAAGTATTTTATTATATTATAATATATTGTATATTCAATTAAAAAAATTGAAACGCTAAAAATCACAAATAATATATTTAGCTAATACTTTTTATAATTACCAAAAAATTACAAAATTTTTCAGAAGTTTATACTATATGTCTATTTATAAATTGGTATATAAATAATCATTTAAGTAGAGTGAAACCAGAAGTATGTCAATGTCAAAATTGTATTATAAACAATACGGGTTTACATGTTACAAGTTTCAACAGCTTTCACGTAAAGATATATACGTGCTAATAAATGTCTAGGTTATGGATTACAAATGTGGTTAATAAAATTTTTAAATCTTATAATTATTTTATTTTGAACAAAAATATATTCAATTGAAATATAATTTATTATCAATTGAAGTTTGTACTTAAAAACAATGTATTTTAACAATAAATTAAAAACTTTATTTGTCTATGTCATTATTCATTAAATATCACATATCATAGATACTTTTTATACTATTAATATTACATCGAAACTTAAGGTAAAAAATTAGTCATCATACATCTGTAGAAAATACAATATTATTATTTTATTTTTCAATAGAACCTTTTAAATTCTATTAATCATTTAAAATAAATTAATAAGTAAAAAAGGTATGTACCTAAAATATGTTTTATATTTTTTTGTAAAACTGTAGCTTTATTTATTATTACTGCTCGAATTTTTAAATCCTGCGCAAGCACATTTTACTATAATTTTAAATACCCTCACAACATTAAATTGTATTATGATTTACTATAATACGTATACACTATACAGTAATTAGTAGGTATGTAACATTAACTAAAGTAAAGGTGTTTTTATTAATCGTATCTATTTACGGCGAAGTAATTTAATAAAATAACCATAATAATAATAATTTCTATTAATATACCTACATAAATCTATATTTATATATATATTTGCTATTAAACAAGGATGTTAAAATAAATTAAATACTTAATTTAATGAAAAACAGTTTTAAAACGAACATAAGTATATGACTTTTAATATTAAATATGCATGAATGAAACTTTCATAGTTTTATTACTTAACTTTTTCTCTATCTCTTACCTTTATACTCAACAATCTTTTATAAGTAAACTGTAACCTGGTTAATCTTTTCTCTATTTACATTTTTTAATAGTAATAGATAGTATAAAATACATAAATGTATACAGTATGGATACATTATACATACACTATATGTATATTACTAATAAGTAGTAGAATTGATTAAATATACTTTAATATATTTAATCAATGGTAAATGGTAATAGTAAATAGAACACTATTAATCTATTAGTATGTTAATATGCAGTAAACTATAATAATTATACTATTAGTTTTAGGTAATTAAGGTAAAAATAACATTGAACTTAACGTAGGTATAATAGCAATAAAATATTGAATAGGTATTTAATGCAATAATCGAGCGCTTATTATTATTTACTTACGACAAAATCAATAAATGCCTTATATTATCTTATCAAACGAATTAATATTGTTAATACATAGATGTCATACATAACATCTACACAAATTATGAAATATTATTAATTATAATAATGTATACGATATTATCGAAGTTATATTTCCGTTACTTATGATATAAGTATACTGTACAGAAAGCTTAATTTAAATTTTGCACAGTGTCTGTTACTCTAGTTAAACAACATGAAATGACTTATTTGCAGATAACAACATTCATCGTTTTCGTGTAATGCGGCAATTCGTCGGCAATGCCTTATTTATCGGCAACTCGGGAGAACAGTAACAGCGATAGTCGACTTAAGTTGTTCAATGGTTTGTTTCGGTGGAAAAAAACAGAAAAAGAAAAACAAAAAGGTAATTTAAATGTACACATTAATTATAGTTGTTATATTCTAATTAAAATAATTAATGCATCATTTATGTATATATAGCCAGGCAGCTAAGTAAAAGTGAAGTTTGTATAGCAACATCGATGTCTGTGAAAACAAGGAATTCGTGCCCTGCGTCTCCTGCTCTTTCTATGCCCAGATCTAGAGACGTTTTCCAGGACATGGAAGCGCTTAAAATCTCTAGACACGACAATCCATATTTACAGGTAAAAATAAATAGTTTTTGTGATGCAAGTTATAATTTTATTTTTATAATTTAATGAAAAAGCATGCTCATTAATAGTATTATTTTATACCTAATTAATGTATATCGACATACATTATACACATTTATTATATAATTGTACTAAACATTTATTATTTATTATATTGAGAAAAATACTTATGTAATAACTATTTATTTTTTTTTTTTTATGTTAACACTTAAATATGAATAATTTATAGGTTTTTTTTTATGAATTATTATTCATTAACGTAAGACAGGATTTTATCTAGAAACCTATGGAAAAGGTTTTAGTATTTTTGAGGTTTTTCAACTTAAACTAATATTTTACAAAATATAATTATTAATTATCATAATCATTTTAAAATTAATATTTACATATTAAATTTTCATTGGAACGATAAAATGCGTATTGGATTTTCAATGATTGTTTTTTTTTAATTTTCGTGTCTGAACTTTGAAAACATTTTTTAAAGTAAAAAAAATTTCCAATTATAAAATACTAAGAAGAATTCTGGTCGAAAATTAGACATCTTTGTATTTTTAGTAATTTTATAGTATAATTATAAAAAAAAAAAATTGGTTATAATGTTATATTACTAGTTTTTTGTGTTATTAAAAGTTATTTAAAACTATAAACTATTTTTAGTTTATTTTCATTAATGTATAATTAAATATAATTGTAATTGAAAATACTTGAAAATAATACGATGTTTCTCAGAATTTTTTACACAATAGAATAATAAAAAAAATTCTTGGTGACAATTTTTTTTTTATAAGTTAAAATTATTCTATAACTAGAAATTAATTAAGTTTTTGAGTTTAACGCCTAAAGCTTGATAATTTAATACAAGATAATAAGAATTTCAAAAATAAAATTTAGCATAAACCTATATAAATTTTTTATGAGTGATTTAAGTTCAAATGTTGCGATTATTAAGTATTCAAAAGTATATTAGTGATTAATCATCTAACAATTATTAAGTAGTTATTTTTTTTATCATACAAAAAATATTAATTATAAAATCTTGAAACATTTCACTTTTATTTAAATTAAATCATTTTACATTCTTTCATTCTTTTTAAACGATAACATTTTATAAATATTTTATCTTTTTTTGTATATTTTATTGATATTTGAAATTTTTTCGATTTATGTAGGTACGATCAAGTTTATATTTAAAAGCTTGATAATTCAATATAATACATTCCTCATTTGTTGTTTTTACAAAAACATAGAAATTATAAAAATACGTAATAATTATTTTTTATTTTATACTTTTTTAACCTATATATTAGTTTAAATTTAGATGACATAAAGCAATCAGAAGTAGCTAATTATTTTAATGAAAAAAAAAAAAAGTAAAATAAATTAACAATTTAAGTTATTTTTGGTGTGATTAAAACAATATTACTTGTAGAAATTTAAATATATTTCGGCACAACTCACCTATGTTATTATTTACTAACATAATACAATTAAAATTATTTATATTTTATACTACCATTTTACATTTTTACGGTAGGATGGTATGAACTTTTAACTGAATAAGAGCTAGTACCTAATATAGCAGAGCATTTACCAAGGTTTTTAAATACTAATATACTTATGCAATTTATGTGGTATAAAATACTAATAATATTAGTTAGGCGTGTAAAGTAAAATGTAATGTATAAAATATAGTTATTAAAATATAAAATTATCTATTTTTAGAAAAAAATTTTAGCAAGCAGAGAGAGCTTATTAGATGATAATATTGTTGTATCAGAAACGGATGACATAGACACCATGGCTCAGGTATTTTAACAAATATATATAATTCATATTAACAGTGATTATATGATGGATTCTACTGATAAGTTTTAAACTTTTAAAGATAAATACAATTTTTAAACACTTGAATAAAGTAAAAATAAATTGTCCCACTCTATTCTTCAAGATGGATCCATTTATGTTTTAAAAAATGTTCATATTAAATAAATTTAATTGTTTTTTTTTTTTTTTTAATGAAAGGAATATTTAGCTGATATGGGCCCAGGTGCTTTAATAGAGCTTCATCAGCATATGGTAAGAAGTCCACCTCCAACTACGTGGCCTCGTATACCTATATTTAAATATGATGAAAAGGACCAAACTCAAGTACTTTTATACTTCTAAATACTGATAAATAAGACAATATTAAACTTTAATTGTATTAAAATATATTTATTTTAGGATTTTTATGGAGATAGATGTAAAAGTCCACATGGCCGATCGTTCCTTCACAGCTCCTGTTCAAGTATTTATTTTAAATTTTACTTACAGAAATATTTGTTATGAATTTTTAAATAAATAATCTTTTCATTTAACTTAATTTTACGTTACGTATTGAAAAAATGGTCAATGTTTTTTGTACATTAAAAACTAACATCAGTCATTACTTAATATTAGAGTTCAGATTTAATTTCCCTAAAAACTAAGAAATATGTTTTAAAAATAATAATGCATTTCAAAATTAACAAATCTTTTTTATATGCACTCAACTATGCAAGCGATACTAAATGACAGTTTAACTTTCGATATTTTTAACACTTATTTATCTAAACTAAACAATAATATAAAAACAAATTATCAAACTTATAATCACGCACAATAAATAAACAATAGTTATCTTATATTGGAAATAAATGAGAATGAAATATGTCTCCAATTATTTATTTTATTCAAGTCCTGTTAAAATATTACATGACTGAGAACTTTATCAAGTTTGCCTATACAAAACTCCTTAAAAAGTGGGTATGTTTTTCAGATATTGTGAATATTAAAATTTAAGACAATGATTTAATTTAATAAATATTAATGAATGCTAAAAATTATGTGATATAAATGTATTTAATAACTTTTTATTTAATACTAATGTGGAGTAAATTATATATATATATATATATATATATATTATACAAATACGTATTTTACATATTTGCCATGGTAATTAAATAATGACTAAGATGAAATTAATATTATAAATTATAAGTTATACTATCTAAATTTCTCTTAATAACCGATGAATAATTTAATTACGTCATCCTAGCAATCAAAAATAAGAACAGACTTAAAATCTGGTTACAATTTATGAACCTGATCGGATTTTTATTAGGTTGCCTTATAACTATACCAACTTTGTTTTTTATCATTATTTTAAAAACAAATATATAATTCAAAAATTTTCCGTACAACTGAGTAAATTTCAAGTAATATGCTATGATTTATTTTTATTTTTTAGAATCATTTTTTGTCTTGGATTTTTGGGTGGGGAATGATATATATTTATCCAATGCTCACTAGTCACTGCTCACTGATTCGAGATAAGTTCTGTTACCATTACCTTTTAAGTTTCCTAAACCTTTTAATAACTTAATAATATCATCGAAAAAATATCACTAACTGCAACTACTACGGACTTATATTTTTTCAAAACTATAAAAAAATTAATTTTGAATAAATATTTATAATTTTTTATAATATTTATAATATTTATTATATTTGTAATAAGAATAATAAGGCAAAATGAATTTATTTGTCATAATTCCTTCAACCTCGTAAATAAATTAATAACTAGAGGGGAAGTACTCAATCTCATACGACATACAACATTTTAATGATAAGGGTGCAATATCCACTACATACCTACCAACATTTTTTATTTTAACATTTCTCATACAATTTACTTCAAAACAGAAGGAGGTACCTATGTAATTTTAAAATTATTCATTTTTAAATAGTGCAGAATGATTATTCGACTAATGTAAAGAGGAATAAATTAACTTATATTTATTATTTCACTATTTTTGAATTTCTTAAGATTTTTTTTTGACTTTTGTAGATTAAATTTGCGTAATAAATTTTCAACTAATTAATATCTTATTTTTGATATCCCCTAGCATATAACCCATTTTGCATTAATTTTTTAAAAATTATTTCAATCATTAAAATAATATGATAAACCAAAAGCATTTTTGTTTCATAAATAGATTCTGTTTAATGTTAACTCAATTATTCAAAATCATAAACAAATCTCCATCGTCGCTGCTGATCGTTATCTTTTTACCACTCTGTTTTAACTTATAGTTTACAAACAATCTGGTACCATAATTTATGTCTAATTCGATACATTGACCCTTCAGGAGTTTGGAGCTTTGTCACTGATTTCGAGTCACAATAAAATCCTTTTATATTACGTTCCAAACGACTTATATTATAAATATTAGAATAACATTTAAAATGAACCCACCTCATACTTGGCATGTGTATACCTAAATAATATTATTTATATCAATTTCAGTAGTCGATGGGTTACTCATTATTACTATCGAGTCACGAGTTCGAGTAAGATTTATATCTATGTCCCGTATAACGCACGCCATATAATGTAGCTTCTTCAACTCCGACAAATTTTTATTCATCTCCTCATTGTTAACTCTCTCATTTTAAAAATTTAACTGCAATTTGAAATTTTGTCTCATTGCAACAATATCTGATACACATATTTTTATTTTTTAATAATATAATTTTGATTAAAATCCATTCTAAATACCTTTATTCTTTATAAAGCTTTTGAATTTAACAACTATATTATGGCCTAAGGGCTTTACGCACTCACAACATAATAATATGTCTGTCATTTATAATCTTTTCTATCTCTAAAGCTTAATGGTTTAAATAAAAATTAAAAAAATTTATATATTAAAATATTTAAAAATGATTTTTGTACAAATAATAATTTAATAAAATATTAAAATTCTACTTTCTGCAGGTAGTTCTTCGAGCTGTGTTGTTTCACCACGATATAACCATCAGTCTAGATGTCATAGATCGGCTAGCGAATCTCGAGGTAAATACCTTTAGATCTTACCTATATACTTCGTTAAATGTTGTACAATTTTTCAAATCTTCCATAATTTTGGGTATTTATATAAAATTACGCAAAATAAATTTTGGATTGGAGACCTAGAAAAACGAAGTATATACTTAGGTTTACTCATTAACTCACCGTTACTTCGTTTTAACTAATCAGCATGACCTATTGTCTACAAAGCGGTATATACGAGGAAAATCAAAAACTCATGAAAAAGGGCTTCAAGTGCTTTCATATGTATGTAATATGTATCTGGTTTTATCTATAAAATTAAAAACTATTGATAAATAAAATGATAATGTGCAATAAAAAATCAAGTAGTAAATTTTTATGTACCAATTACATAATATTGTATCATTTTATTTAATAAAAATCAGTGTTCATATATAAGTATAAAATTAATAATCATTATTATTTATATGAATATTTTTTTCTACATTACATTATATTTTCTATGTAAAAAAGTTTAATTTTTAATAATTTTTATTTCAAAACTATATATTTGATCTATATTTCGTTCATTATATACATATATTTATTATTTTTATGATATCATAAATTTAATATCAATACATAAACAATAATTTTTAATTATATCAAAATGTATTTTTTTAAGATTCTATAATAGATTAAATACTCGTATATATTGTGTTTGGTATAGAATTAATTTTAAACAACGCTTAATAATATGCAAAAGTATAGTATTTCCATTCTCCGTAGAATTTATTAATGATTAAAACGACATGAACCGAAAATTAAATTTACTAATCATTTATATTTACTTATCAGTTATCATATATACACAGTTAAAGTTGTTTACACTTTATCTTATTTAAATTTTTTTATTAATTAAAATTTGTTGAAAAATTAAAAATTCATAATTAATAATATTTTCTTTAATGTATTTTACTTAAAGAATAATTATTATGATGTCACTCATACATCATTGAATAATATATGATAGCAGTATTTTTAAAATTTATATTTACGTACAATATTATTTTAAGTTGCCATTCTTGCCAATGATTAAAGACAATGTATTTACTCAATGCGATGTTATATACATTCACGTAATATCGTAAGATTTATAAAAATGTATATATAATAAACATTGTATCTAGTATATCATTTTTACATCTTATAAGTTATATTTTGCTTAAAGTGGCCTACAATAAATTAATTTAAGAAATTTTTTTCCAAACATAATTTAAATTTAAATAAAATACAATGCTTAGATCATAAACCTTTTCCAAGTAAAAATATAAAAGTAATTTATGCTATATAAAAGATAAATATTAAGTATTTATAGTGTATAGTGAGTAATTATCTCTAAGTATTATAAATTATTTAAAATAATAATGACCATAAATTAACTCAAGCTACAGATAAATAATTTTCTATTAGATTACACACAACTAACCACTCATTTTTACTAAATAATTAAATAATAAGTCTTTTTTTGTATTAAATATATATACTAATTTTATTAATATTCACTTATTTATCTATCATATAAATAAGTTTCAACCAATAATTATAGCTGATGTATGGTTATGGTTTTATTTCGAGTTCACATAAAATATGTCATACAATGAGATCGAGCTTTTAAAACTATAAACTTTTCAAATCTTATTCATGATTAAAAAACAAATTACTTCATTCTTAAAATATTTAATTATGAAAATGTTAATAGATTTTATATAATAAACTTGTTAATTTGTATATATATCTAGATATGATTATTTTAAAAGCCTATTGTTTAAATAGAATATATAATATAATATCTATGGATCAATTAGATAATACTTTAAAGTATTAGTTCTATATTACGTTAAAGCCATAAAGGAACAAAAAGGGTTTTTATATATAAAATATTTTGTTATTTATTATTTTGTATTTAATTATCTATATTCTATACAGCATAACTGGTTAATTCATTAAATAATTAGTTTAGAAAATTTACAATGGAAATACGTTAATTGTCATGATATTCATGTATTATAATTCAATCGGTTTTAAACATATTTTATAATTTTTATTTTTAAGGAAATACTATAGTTTATAATGTTAATATATAAGTACTTAGGTGCTATCAAATCCTGTCCTTATTTTCTTTGGATGAGTTCTAACCATTGTTACTTAAAATATTAGATAACATTTAATTCTAATAAATTAATAATTTGCTGTACTGTTTTTAACTCATTAAAAAAAAAAAGATTCAGATGTAGATTTTGTTGCATATGCTAACCCCTATACGTATGATTATAATATGATTTATATAAGTACGTTTAGTTTTTTTTGAAATCGGTCGATAAAATGATATTTTATTTCCTAAATTCTACTTATAAATATTGAAGAATAAATATTTAAAAGTATATACCTACTTAACTAATGTATTAAAATATATTATATACCTAGATGAATATTCAATAATATTACAATTTATTATACATTTAAGCTTTTTCATTTAAACAATCAGTTTGTTAAAAAGTAAAAATATGGTTATTGATTAAATGCACAATAATGAATATTATCAAACATGTATTTATAGTACTAAAATTTGAAGTTTCAGATCATATTGAAAATGTTATGTTTATTAAATATTTTAATTTATACATGTTATTAATAGCTTTTTGTTTTATTGTAGTTTTAATTTTTAGTTAAAATTGGTCTGTTGGAAATTATTTGTAGTTTTATTGGTGCTTTGCTTGTTAATTTTTTTCAAAATGTTTTATTTAATTGCTGGTGCTTTTAAGTTAATGTTCTCATTTTAATAATAAACATGTGATCTAATTTTGATCAATAACAGGTTTTATTTAATAAATGTAACTTGTTATACACATATTTAAAATGTATTAGTTATTAAAAATATTTGTGTATGTCGCATAAGTGCGTATTATTATACCTTCTTATAATAATTTATTACAGTTTATTTTCTATGAAAAACATTTATTGCAAAATGTTTAACCGTTGTAATATGTAATAAAAACACCAATTTTGAATTATCTAATACATTATAATAATTTTTACTCTTTTTACTTTAGATTTAATTAATCTATATAATATTGAATAGTTCAAATAGTTATGTTTTTTTTTTTTTTATGAACATGTGGTTTTATGTTACCATTATTTTAAACCGGTTAAAACTTAATGAAGTATGAAGTATATTTAATTTGTATCAATAAATAGTATATATAAAAATATGTTCTCATTATGGTTTAAAATTTAATAAAAAATTAAGTTATCTGTTTATATTTATTTGTTTTCAAATAGCATACCTATTTAAATTGTATTCTATAGCTGATTTTTTAATACAAATGAATAAACAACAAAAATATTATGTGGTACCTTACCTATAATTTGTCATAATATAAATTATATTATTGCACAGAATGTGGTGTTATAATTAGAACAATATTATAGGTTTTATTTTATTTTATATCTTGTATTATTATAATGATTATGATAAGAAATATAATATATGAATAAAAATGTTGACTTAAATTTAATTTTGTTGAAATAAATGGTAGAATATAATTTGATTGTGTATTAATGCAATTATATCTGCAAATATTCCTCTTTATAAGGTTAAAGCTCCCAAATGTCGCCATTTTCTTTTCAATTGTACCAGTCAAAACATTCCAGAGAAAACAATATAAAAGAGTTATGTACTAAACTACAATAATACTATTAATTATTTTAGAACTCACATTGAGAATGAAAAATTGTGGGTGAGTATAGTCGTATAGATGAGATTTCGAACATGTCTGTATGTCACTATTGGTAGGTAATAGCCAATAGGTAAGAAATACTTTAGATATAGAATACCCAGGTAAAACCTTTTTATTTAATGCCAAAGTTTTAGAAAAAGCAAATAATGTTATTATTGCTAAATTACTAAACAAAACTATGTGATTGTTATGATTAAAGGGTATTGGGTATTAAATTCGATAAGAAGATAATTGATGATGGCTGAGTGCCCCCCCCCCCCCCCAAAGTTAAAGAACATATGAGTTTAAGGAACTTTTTGTCGATAAGAAGTTTATTTTTAAGATTAATTTTAATTTTTAAAAGCATGATAATAATTACGGTTGTATGTATACTAGTCTATGTTATAGTTTAAATATTGTATTCTAGTTGTAATACAATGTATTAACATTATATTAGTATATTACATGTTGTGTAATTAATCAAAACTCTTATACTTAATCTTAGTATTTATGTACATAATTATACTCATTATTTATTAGATAAAAATTTAAAATTACATTTTAATTACTATTATAGTGGTATATTATAATTCATAAGTAATTGTATTTATACAGTGAATATAGTAATTTTAGTATGTTTTTTTTTATCTTAAAGTTTTAAACGCGAGTAATGATATACATAGGTACCTATATATCTTTTTTCATAAGTTCTTATTTATTTTTGTAGGTACGTATTTAAGTATTTTGCAGTTAGTAATGTATTTCCCATTAAGTAAACAAAATTGGTGCTTAAATAAATAAGAAAAAATTACCTTCAATCATATAATTAAAGTTACTCGTATATATGAATTTTATTTTCTGTATTTTAATAATATAGGTGACTTAGAACATTATTTATGTAATATTGTATTATTGCATACAAATTGCATTTCGAAGAAGTTATAAATATTTTAAATATATTCAATTGTTATTAAAATTAATACGGTTATTTTTTTATGAATTGAAAAATGATTTTCAATGAAATTTAAAGATCAAAATAATGTTAACTGATTTCAAAACGATATATTATTAATATGTATTATATATACATTGTTTTTTTTTTTTTTATCGAGAAAATGATCTTTACGATCTGGATGTAACAAAATACAATAAACAATAAGTATAAAAGATTATACGATTTGCGGTTTGAATGAAGAAGGCGTCCATTGACACCACTCTAACATAGTAACATGTAGATATATTGCATAAATATTAAAAACTGTATGTGTATATACCTATAATACACTATATATATATATATATATATATATATACACATGCATTACTTACTGAATATTCCTTTTCAATTTACAAATATATACATATTATAGTTTATAATGTATAATGTATATATTACATTATTTTTATTCAAATTCGCTTTTTTGAATATATTGGACATTGGTACCATATTATTGTCATCACTTTATAGTTTGTTCTCAAACATTTACTGAGTAGAATCAGTAGATATCTTTCAACTAATGAATTATTTATTTTTAAAAATTATACAGTAGGTATTATACTGTAACAGTCAATTTTAGCATGGAGTATAAGACACTTATT